CACTTAGGGGGTAGGATATAATTGTTAATCTAGCCAGGAGTTGTTAGGCAGTTAAAAGGAGAGCCAAGAATGAGCAGTGTTTAAAAAAATGCAAACCAGAAAGTATCCAGGAAGAAAGGATGGCTGATAGGGTCAAATGTATCAGGTAGGGCAAATAGCATGAGAAATGAGAAATTACCAAACTGGTAATGTGTGAGAATGCAGCTTTAATTGAACCTAAATGAGGCACCATGCTATAATAGGAAGAATACTTGAAATCAGAAGACTCAAGTTCTAATCTCAGCTGTGTAACCATAAGAGCTCATTTAACCTCTCTGGTTTTCAACTATAAAATGAAGTGTTGGAGTGAATGATCTAAAGTTCCTTCTAATTGTACATCCAATGATTTTAAGTGTGAAAACTGATCTTTAAATTTGTTGTCAATTAGAGTTTAGACTTTACTTGTATAGTTGTACTTTATCCAATTAATGAATACACATTAATTTGCTGAACTTGTACACTTGTGAATAAATCCATGGGGTTCTAAGATCATCCAGTAGGAGTTTCTCTTTACAAAAAAGGAAGGAGGCAGAAAGCCTTTTGGAATCAGTAAAAGGATTAGGGGAGCAATGTGCTAGGTAGGGGTGGAGGGTAGAGGAAATAACAACATAGAACATTTATTAGTCAAATCCTGAATGAACAGTTTTCCTTTGAGAGGCCAGTTTTATTTATTACTGATTAACAAATGATTAATTTATAAACAATTTCTCTTCCAAAGGATTATATATCAGAATGACTTTATTTCCCAACTAGATTGTGTCTCTGCACATAAATTAGGGAAAAGTAGTGCTGTCTGTTGAATGGAGCATGGAAATCATATGTCTGTTTCCTGTCTGTATCACTGATTTACTGTATGACCTTGGGCAAGTCATTTGTTCTCCCAGTCTAGTTTCCCTAATTATAAAATGGACATAAAAATACTTGCTGACTATTTTAAGGTTTAATGAGACAAAAAGAAATATGTGTAACTCCTAGAAAAGAGGGTTTTAAAAATATGTTACTTTTTAAAAATCTAGACCTGTAAATTCATTGATACTATCGTATATTATTTTTAACCTTGATGTTAGAAGATAATAGCACCTTTTCTATGCCTAGACAATCACTATATATAATGGAAGGTTAAGTTAAATGGAAGCTCCATTTTTCTTTGTAATTTAGGCAGAGTTAACATCAAACTTAATTTTCATTAAAGATTTTATGTGTAATATTTCATTTGTTTAACCACATCTTTAGGTAAATGGAGCATATAAGCTATTATGTCAACATAATTTAAAGAGTAAATGGCTTTTGATTTTGAGGGGGTTGAATTCTAGCTCAGAGGAGAGAATATAGTGGAATGTCTGCTGAATCTCGAGACAGAGGACCTGGGTTCAATCTCAGCTCTACCAACTACTCCCTGCTTGACCTTGTACAAGTCATATCAATGATACTGGACCTCATTTTCCCCATCTGTAAAAAAGGGGTTTGGACTCAATGACTTCTAGAATTTGTGATGTAGTTGTATAATGATTTAAATGAAATTTTATATAGAAATGTCCTTTGAGATGGAAAATAATTTGATGAATTTTTTTATCTGATAGAAATTAAAAGAGCACAGTGAAATAGGCTGAAATACATAATTGCATAGCACTGGACATGTTATTACTTCTGCCACCCCATTTTATTTATTTTTCTGCAAGCTAAGCAAGTGAGAAAATGTGTACAATTCACAGCATAGTCGTAAATCACTTGCACAACAAATCCTCATGACCATAACAATTTCTTGATGCTTTGTAGATCTGTCTTATATAGGAAGTCACACTTCTCTAGTAAGAAGAGAGCTGTTGCTCAATGAATAAGGCATTCTGACACCATTACTCTGAAAAAAAGTTACTTTTATTCTTCAATAGAGCTTGTTTCTTATCTGTCCTCAACATTCTTGGGAGTTTTCTAGGTTAAAAAAAAACCCTCACATTTTTCAATAAAACAAAAATATACCAAAATATCAACTTTAGATGTTCAAAATGAGGGAGGTATGGTTAGACACCAGTTCTGGAAAAAAGATCTAGGGATTTTGGTGGATTGCAAACTCAGAGTGAATAAGTCAATGATGTGGAAATCAAATTAATGAGACTTAGGCCTATATTAAGAGGCCTAACTTTTAGGGAATGAGAGGTGAGAGTCCCATTGTAGTCTGTCCATATCAGAACCCATTTTGTGTTCAGTTCTGAATGCCATGGCTTAAGAAGAGCACTGACAAACTAGAAAATGTCCGGAAGAGGACAGGTCTTGAATTCATGTCATGAGGATTGATTAAAGGAATGTGGAATGTTTAGCTTGGAGAACACTGGAAGAAGGAAAAAAAGAAAAGACACCAGAGCAGTCTTCTATTATTTGAAGGGTTGTCATGAGGATGAAAATTAGGCTTGTTCTTTTGATTTCCAGAAGGCAGAACAATGGATGGAGCTACAAAAGGCATATTTAGGCTTCATGCCATGACAAACTTCCTAACAGCTAGAGCCTTCCAAAAAAGGAATGGACTTCCTCAAGAGGTGGTGGGTTTTCCATCCTTGGAGATCTTCAAGCAGAGATTGAGGAGTAACTTGTCAGGTAAGTTGTATTTCTTTGTTTTCTATTTTTTTCTGTTTTCTATACTATTCAAATTCTGTAATATTATTACCTAAATAGGTCCTCTAAAGGGCCTATCATTTCCTTGGTGGAGGTACTCCCTCCACAGACACAGATACAAGCCCTCTGTTAATTAGCAGATGATGAAAAAGCTGAAAAACCCATCACCCCGTGGCCAACATGGTAACAATCCTCTCTCATCTCGATCAGGCCAGTTCTTAGACAACACGATGCATTATGTCACTTTATGCCTTTCCAACTTCTGCTCTGGCCAGGACCAGCCAGAACATCTACTCTTCTGGCATAGCCATCGTGCATCAGGGGTGACCGAGATTCCAGGAATAATTATGAAACTTTATTAGGCTTCCCCTCAACCCATCCATACACACAGAAGCTTAGCTATCAAGGCCATGACATTCCAGCAGAATCAAAATCTTCCATGGTAGGACTACTTACATTTTTAATATTTATTTTCTCATGGGCTAACAAATAGGGGCACAATAAAGAATTGTTAGTTGAAAATGTTGACAATGGCAGAAACTCTGTCTAGAAGAGGCAACATCCAGGGTTGAGCAAAATATATATTTTTCTTTATTAAAAAAAAAGATAAAACTGAGTCTGGTCATTCTTGGGCAGAGAAAAATATCTGTATAATCTTTCTCAAGCCACTTCCCTTGTCTAAGCCTCAATCTCTTCATTTGTCTAAAAAAAAAAAATTAAAAAGAGGAGTTTGGGACTAGAGGACCCCAGAGGCGGGTCCCAGTTCTAAATCCCGAGCTTTGCAGCCAGTGGTCGCGAGGGGGCACTGCAAGTCTGGTTTTAGGTAGGGAGAGGCGCGCCCGAGCTTCCTCCAGCTTGTAAAGAAAGCAAGCTTTGAAGGTAGTAGGCCTGTCGCGAGGCTGCTAAACTTCAAAGGAACCTAGCCGGGTGACCCCGACAGTAGGGTCCAAAAGTCCCGTGGCTTAGGGCTAGGGCTAGCTGGGCGCTCCCGCAGCCAGCCTTTGTAAATCCGGCGGCGGGGGGAGAGAAAGCCCACTAAACTGGCTTTTCAGGTGGGGTGGGTGTTGGGGCAGGGAATGAACGCCCTAAAGATTCCGATCCTTAGGTGAAAAGAAGAGCCTGGAGGTCCCCAAGATAGAAAGTAGCAACTACGCGGGCGGGAGGGGAGACGTAGGGAGAAAAGGGCCAGGTTCGGGAAGTCGTTCAGGTGAACGGTAGAATCACCTGAGAAAGGTTATCATCATTATCATTACAGCCCGCGTTTAGTAGAAGGTTGAGGCAGCATCACCTGCACGTGCTGTATTCTCTCTCCACAGCTGGAGTGGTGAATGGATGCTTAGAATTTAAGGGGACAGACTAGGGCTCAAACCTAGGACTCAGGCTCTTGGAGCCGATATAAAAATAAAGGGTAGGAGGTAGGTCTTTTAAAGAAAACAAAACAAACAGACAAACAAAAACCTGCCGCCTTCCCCTTTCTCTCCAGGCAGTTAAACCAGTGCTTGACTTTCAAGTCGTCTGGTTTCAGAGTTGAAAGTCCAGAGGACTTTTCGGTGTTCAGGTCTATTCTGGCCACAGAGCTTCTTCCCCGGGCGAGTCTGGTTGGGAGCTCCGGCCTTCGAGCGAGGGCGCCCTTCTCCTTCTCCGGGAGAGCTAGAGCGCAGTAAAGACGGAGAAAGCCTGTAGTTGAGTGGAAGAAGGTGAAGGGAGAAAGGTCGGGGGTTGAGAAGCTGAGCAAGACGATTAAGGAGAAAGTTCTCCTTCTCCCCTAACTTTTGGAAATAGCTGAGGTGGAGGAGGAAAGAGGCAGAAGAGAGTTAGAAGCCGCCCGTGCCAACTAGTTATCTCCCCGCGCGTAGAAGCCGTGAGCTGACGCGCTGCAGGCTGAGCTCTGCCTCGGACCCACCGCGGGTTTTGGGTGTGCTGTGGACCTCGATTACCCGCCGCTTTATTCCGTGGCCTCCTCTGCTGCCCAGGGTTAAGCTAACGCCACCCCAACTCGGGAGGCAGCTCCTCCACCCGAGCGCAGCACGGACACTACGAAACAGATGCGCGGCTCGCTAAGTTGAAGGGTGAGGGCCGAGCTTGGCACCTTGGCGGGTGGCGCTGCCCAGGACAGGAGAAAGGTGCAAGTTAGCGAGGACAAGTAGGGGAGAAGGGAAACTAGGATATCCAGCCTCGCCCTGTCTGTGGACCCCGGCCTGGGAATCCACACTACCATCCTTGTTGATAAAGGCAAAGTGGGAAGAACAGAAGGAAGACGTGGGTGCTTCTGTATGTGAGAGAAGTCCTGTTTAGGGGAAGGAACTGAAAGGAGCGGACCGGGGAGCTTCCGTATGCAAGAGAAGCCCTGTTTAGGGGGACAAGTCTAAAGGCAGCCGCTGAGGTTCACCCCGCCCTCCAGTCAGCAGTTGAGAAACCACGGGACAAGGGACCGGGGAGGGTGCTGAGGGGGAGGTGAATAACACCTACGTAGATGAGACACATCAGGGCGACTGTGCAACTGTCTGGCTGAAGGATCCTCCTCTTCCTCCTCAACATGGTACTACGTGTTAAAAAGCAAACACGGAGCAAATAGTAAATAGAGATGCATGAAGCCATAGAGGAAAGGAGACGAACGGAACTGAATCGAGCAGAAGAGAAACTGAAGGAAAGCGAGGACTAACCTAACCTCGTATCGTCCAAATAGAGCCCCCGAACCGGGCTTGCTCCAAAGAGGGCCTGTGAGTAAACACCTTCTCGGCCACCCACCCTCAACCGAGTGACAGAAGCTCGCCTGCTCCGAGGGAATAAGCAGCAATACCAATAGATCACTGTCTGTGAACTGTGAGCTGTGGCTGCTGTTCGCGAGGGATTTAATTTTTTTTTTTTTTTTTGCTTTTACATTTTTCTTCCAGTTTTTTTTTTAAGGTGTCTGCTATTTTCCCGATTCCAACTCCGTGCTATTCCGTCTTCAGCTTCGTAGATTGTTAATTTTTACCTCATCTCTCTCCACCCCCACCCCCACCCCCACCCCTTTCCTCCGTGGAAAGAGAAGGATTAAAAGTTACAAGTATTGTTATCGTTGGGTTTGTAGGTTATTCTTTCCCCACTCTCCTTTTGGTGTGTGTTGTAAAAGTAGTGAGTACTATGTGCACCAACATAGTTTACGAATGGCTGAAAGCCCTTCAACTCCCCCAGTACGCGGAGTCCTTCATGGATAATGGCTACGATGACCTGGAGGTATGCAAACAGATCGGGGATCCTGACTTGGACGCCATCGGGGTCCTGGCCCCCCAGCACCGGCGCCGGATCCACGACGCGGTAAGAAGGCTACGGGAGCAAGATGCCAATGCTGCCGGCCTCTACTTCACCCTGGAGCCGCAGCAGCTGCAGCCCCAGCAGCAGCCTGGTTCCCCTTCCCCAGAAATCTACACCAGTCACCTAGTGGAGCAGTATGAGGGCCAGGCTTGGAGGGAGTCTCAGCCTGGCCAGACCCAAGGACCCAGGGGGGTCTCCAAGAACCAGAAAGCCGGGTCCCGCAGCAAGGAACTGGTGACTTATCCCAAACTCAAACTGAAAATCATGATCAGAGATAAACTCGTCCGGGATGGAATCAATTTAAGCAAGCCCCCGTACTCCAACAAGGTAAGAACTAACCTCTCCACGCTCTCCCAGCCATCCCATCCCCGTTAGCGTGCTTGTGTTGATGAAGGTGGTGGTGCCAGTTTAGTTTTGTCAGTCCCTGGTGGTCAGTCTCACCTACCAGAGAGGGAAGAATGACGCTGAATGTTTTGATTTTTTTCTCTTTCCTGAGAAGGAGGTGGTCAACTCATTTCTGATGTACCAAACTGAGGTGGGCAAGGGTCTCACTATCTTCCCCAAGAAGCCCCTTTCATAGCCACTGGTTCTCACTTGTTGGATATTGTTTCTCCTACTGGAGTGTAGGAGAATTGTTAATGTCCTGTCTCCTTAGCATTTCAGTCTTAAGTATCTCTGAAGAATGGCAGATATGTCGTTATTTTATACCTTTGTCATCTCCTTTCCTAGTCCCTCTCCTTTTTTTTTTTTTTTTTGGTTGTGATGTTGCCTCCAGAACTCTCATGTTTTTCCATTTAGTTTGTATAGATGAGTCAAGTTATGTTATAGAGAAGAATTCTTTGAAGGCGTTGTCTAGAGAATAGAATTTTTTAAAAAAAGTTGATAATTATAAAATGGATAGGGGGAAATCCAAGGACTGCTGTAAAAATTGGAAAGCAATGTCATCTTTAGATCCTTTGGGGGGGGGAAGTGAATAAAACATATATTAGGGTCTTGGAAATGCTTTAAGGCAATGCCTTGAGTTTTCCAAATACAGAACTTATAAAGCAACTAAATCAACTGAGCACAAAAGGTTGACTAAGCAAATGCTTGAGGTCAGTATGATGTCATGTGTTTGATGGATGTAGTCAATGAGGGGTTGATTCATTAAGTAAAACTTTAGATTGCAGACAGCTCCAGATGAGCCACATTTGGAGAAATAAGAGCTAAAGAGCTCATGAAAAATTGTTCAGCTTGAATAAAAGAGAGATAATAGACATAGGCAAATGCAAAAATAGGTCATAAATGATGACAAACCTTTTATGAAGCCTTTGGGAAATAACTTGGGAATTATCAGTTTGTAAAGGTACTACTACTCTACTAGAAGGGACAGGGCCAAAGTACTGGTGGGAGATGAAGGGTGTTAACAAAAAAAAAAATTTAAATGAGAAAATGTCATTATTTCACATAATACCATGCTTCTTAGCTCAAAACACACTGTAGCTTTGGTTGCTTCACACTTTTAGGATGGAAAATACTACTCTATCAAAAGGAAGATGATATCCTGAGATGATGTCTGAAGAAATAGTTTTTTTTAAAATGCAAATGATGAAGAGTTAGAAAAGAGTAAATGCACAGAAAATAACATAGAATGATAAAAGATTGGCTCCTTTTATGAAAGGCAAGTAGGAATGTAAATGTAAATTAATGAAAGGAACAAATTGAGATTCTTAATAGGTTGTGGTTCTCTTTTGGAAATGGTATCATATGGAGAAGTTAAGGAAAAATGCAAGTGGATTAAAGAGCAGATTAGATGGTTTAACGTATTATTTATTTGGATTTTCCAAGGCACTTTGAAATAAGGTTAAATATTTGAGTAACCTACTTTAGGGCATAAACTGGTTACTGGGAGATCAAAAAGTCTGCTTTACATTTAGGATGCACTACCCTGAGTATATTACCTGTATTCATGGGAGGAGACTATATTTGATAATTATACTGTATAACAGAATAGATAGACATTTTTCAATTAGGAATAGTGACTGGTCAGGGTATGGGAACACATTAGTGTAAATGACTCATTTCCTAAGAGAACAGTTGAAAGGAGGTTGGAATCAGTCAGTTGAATAGTCATTTACTGCTGACGAGGTGATGGAGCCTGACAGTGAATCTGAGCTCCTCAGCATGTTGTGATGGGCTCAGGCAGGAACCAGAAAGTCCTTCAGCGTGGAAGTTTCCTAAGCTACCCATAAAAGACAAGATGTAGGCCTGAGAGAAAAGGAGGATGGTTCCTGAGGGGAGTGTTGAGAAAGGAACCTATGCGGGGAATAAAGCAGCAGGTTTAGAATGACAAGACAAGTAGTTGACTTTATCAAAGGATGGTGTCAAAGCATGCTATTGAGTTGTGGTCTTCTACCTGTAGGAGCAGAATAAAACATACATCATAGTGAATCTTATTCAGGACCTTCTGACTGTCCTGGGTTTGTATTTACTTTCTATACGAAACATTATTTGACACAACTTTACTATGACTGTCATAGAACATAAATTTGGTGATGTGTAACCAGAAGAACCCATCAATGATGAGCCTCATTTCTCCTTCTCTGGTTTATTTTACCTGCAGCCAAATGGGCCTGCAGATTGTTTTGGAAGCTTTCTTAATCACTAACTATTCCATTGGTACTTCAGATGAAGAGGGGAAAAAATAGGACAGCAGACCTCAATGTTTGAAGACCTGTATTGTAAGCTCATACAAATAAGAGGTGAATATAATCAAAATGAATAAGCAAGATTGATGAGTATTCATTAGTAGAATCATGACCACTGCTCTGAATGCTTTAGCTGTGGGTTAGAGAGAGGGTTATTTAGATTTTCTACTGTATATCTTTTTTAATGAATTCTGCTGTTTTCATTTAAGCCACAATTTAGATCATATTGTTTCTGCAGAATCTGTAGGCCTCTATCTGACTTGGATCTGAATGTGAATTAGTCATTATGTGCAATTTGGAATTCTGATCATTACAATTCAGCTTCTCATTTACAGACATTAGCATCCGTGATCTCTGTGATTTGGCACTTCATAAGAATATTAGATCAGTCTTCAAAATGGATTAAATTAGGAAATATTAAGGCAGGAAAGTTGAGTTCTTTAGAGAGGAAACTAGCTGGGTAGAACTGAGAGAAAAGTAAAACTTGTTATTGTGGTGAAGGGAACTTCTAATTGGCCACAAACTCCATAACATCTTTCCACTTGTATCTTGAATCTTACAAAATGCAAATGATCTTTACTTTTTCCTTGGACAGTTTTTGCAATAGCCTTCTAATTGATCTCCTTGCCTGGTTCTCTCATCTCACTCATCTGTCTTCCACACAACTAGCAAGTCAATATTCATGAATTACAGACTTGACCATGTCACTCCTTATGCAAAAATCTTCAGTGACTCGCTCTCGCTTTTTTTAAATTAATTTTTAGTTTTCAACATTCACTTCCATAAGCTTTTGAATTTTAAATTTTCTCCCCCTCACTCTCCTCTTCCCTTCCCAAGATGGCATGCAATCTGATATAGGCTTTTCATATACATTCCTATTAAACATATTTTCACATTAGTCATGTTGTAAAGAATTAGAACTAATAGGAAGAACCACAAGAAAGAAACAAAACAGAAGGAAAAAAAAAGAGCAAATAGTATGCTTTGATCTGCATTTGACTCCACAGTTCTTTCTCTGGATGTGGATAGCATTTTCCATCATGAGACTTTTGGAGTTGTCTTACATCCTTGCATTGCTGAGAAGAGCTTAGTTTATCAAAGTGAGTCATAGCACAACGTGGCTGTTACTGTGTACAGTGTTCTCCTGGTTCTGCTCACTTCACTCAGCATCAGTCCATGTAAGTCTTTCCAGGTTTTTCTGAAATCTGCTTGCTCATCATTTCTTATAACACAGTAGTATTCTATTATATTCATTTATGACAACTTGTTTAGCCATTCCCAAATTTATGGGCATCCTGTCAATTTCCAATTCTTTGCCACCACAGAAAGAGCTGCTATAAATATTTTTGTACATGCGGGTCCTTTTCCCATCACTCTTGCTTTTTTAAGATAAAATATAAGTACCCTAGTCTGGTATTTAAAGCCCTCTACAATCAGGGTTCCATGTACTTTGCCAGTATTCTCCTCCACATGGTTCTCCATTTGAGTTAAACTGGCATTCTAGCTGTCCTCCCATACCCAGTATTTCATCTCCCACCTCCATTCTCTTGCAGAAATGATTTCTCCAAGTCTGGAGTATGCTCCCTGCTGGTCTTACCATCATAGAGTCCTTTGCTTCCTTCAAGGAACAGCTCAGATGTTGCCTCCTATGGGATTACTTTCCTTATCTTTCCCTTTGCCCTCCCTTAATTATCAGTTAACAAGAATTTATTAAGCACGTACCTGTTAAATGCCATTCAGTGTTCTAGGTGCTGGGTATGCAAAGACAAAAGTGAAATTGCCCCTGTTCTCAAGGAGTTTACATTCAGTTGGGGGAGACAGCATGTGCTTATACAGGGTGAGCCAAAAATCTTAGTGCAGTTTCAGGCTTGAATAGCTTGACACTGCACTAAGATTTTTGGAGCACCTTACATAGTTATATATGAAATAAATACAAGGACATTGAGTGGAGGAAGCACAAGCATCTTCCAGGATCAGAAAAGATTTCATGTAGAAGGTGGGACTTGAGTTGATTTTTTTTAAGGAAACAGGGATTCTAAGAGGTAGAGGTGAGGAGTGAGTGCATTCCAGGCATGAGGAACAACCAAGGCAAAGCATTGAGACAGGAGTGTTTTTCAGCTTTTCAGTAAGAAGAGTAGTTTGGACTTTTGAGTTTGTGAAGGGGGATTTTATATATCTACATCTATATGTATAGATAAATAGACACGCATATATAGACACCCCCCCCACACCCACTGGTTATATTGTCTCTATTCACAGGTTTTTTTTTTGTTTGTATTGAGCTCAGTAAAACAAAATAAACAATGTAGAGTGACTTACAAGGTGCTTGTGTGTGTGTGTGTGTGTGTAGGTGTATGTGTCAGTCTGTCAAGTTCTCTTGAGCATGGTGTTCATTGGCGTGAGTATATGGTTGTACCTAGAAATGCTGACTCCAATTCCAACTATTTAATTTTATGGGAAACTAGATAAGAGGAAGAGAGTGGCTTAGAGTGCATGAGAGATGCCTGAAGCCTCACATCCAACAGCTTTCAAGTATCTCTTCCCACTCACCTCCAACCCTCATAGTCTACCAACAAGAGATGAATGGGCTCAGAAACTATTTTAAAATTCAAATGATCCTTAGGAAGCTGTATGGTCATT